CTCCGCACGCCGCCGCCTGCCCGCGGCGGAGGGGAGAGCGCGCCCTTTGTCTGGGGTTGTTTTTCTGCTCTGCGGTTTGAGAAATGCAGCATTGCCCCCGCCGCCTCCCCTCGGGCCGTTGGGCGGAAAAGCCGCCTGCCCTCGTCCCCCCGCTTCGCGGCGGCGTGAGGTTTGGCGTGCACGGCTGGACGCCAGCAGCCTCATCCCTCACGCTGTCACCCTGCCAGTGGAGCATTTTCTCCTGATCCTTCCCTCCCGCAGGAACAAGTCGGTCCTCTTTCACAGTTTCCTCATTGTTTCCAGATGATGAAAATGTTTTTATCTCTCAGGTTCAGTTCAGCTTTCATAGCAAGTGACTGGAGATCTGCCATGAAATAGGAGAGCAGCAGAATTCAGGGGACAGAGGTGTAAATGCTCTCTCCTTCTTGCTGCCCCTCGGGAGGAGAAGGCCCGCTTTACCCGTCCTGGGTGCCCAGAAGAGACTCCTTGTTTGTGGTCAGAGAGTGGAATAAGGGATCATTCACTCAGGAATATTCCTATGACCTAACGTTACCTCCCTGAGTAAGAGCCTGGGCTGTAAATGAGGCTTATTTGTGAATTGGTTTTGTAGAATCATCTTCTTACTTTCTCCTTCTCCACTGACTTGGAGAGAATACAGAAAACTGGCTTCCTATTTTAGGTACCTAAATTAGATGGTTTGAGGCTTGCGTTCTGTTCTGTGTGTTTTGGTATCTTCCCTTGGTTGATGAAGAGAAAGCAAGCTGCTTTTGGTGCGTTTGATTTTATTTTGGTCTCATACAATTGTATCTTGAGTCTTTTTCCTGTCTTTACTATTTCTTCTTTCTAAAGAGCTTCTGCTTGCCATAGTGTTTGGTTTCATAAATAATTTGTTCCAGTCCTTATTCTATTTCAAGTGCAATATTTTAGCTCTTGCTCTGTGCTAATTTAAAAATAATTGCTACTTGAGAATTTTAGTCAATTCATAGTTAACAAAATAACAGAAATGGGATGGGTTTTGTGCTAAAGGGACCGTCTCGAGATGGTGCAGAAAACTCATTCCTGTTTTACTCAGGAATTAAATTTTATGTATTTCCAGCCATTGTACTGAACATACTGAAAGCTTTTTCTTGTTTACTGCTCAGCTTGTGAAGGCTGAGTGGAGCGTGTCTGGCCCTGCTTATCATCCCTGCAAAATTCTGCTCACAAAACAACCCAGCAGGGCACTATATGTTAGAAATTCAAGTTCCAAGAAGGACATTTTGGGTTATTTGCAGTTTCAATAACTGTTTCAGGACATTGCAGTCTGCTTTTCATTCAGACTGATTTTTTTCTCCCCCATGTTTTAAACCTTTTTAACTTCGGAAATGCCAAGTCTTGGAGCCCATACATTTTGACGCTTTTCCTTTAAAAGTTGTCATCAGTTTTGTATCTGGAACGCTGAGTGTTACCTGAATCTGGCTTTTTGACTGATAATTAACAAGCAGTGTCATGGTGCTTTTTTTCCCGGTATGACAAAATGTAGTTCAGAAGAAAAGATTTCAAGCTGTGGTAAGACTTGTCAAGGCCAAATTTACCAGAAAAACAAAACCAGAACTGATTTTGCAATAAGCCTTAACC